AGGGTGTTGCACTGGAGAAAGAATATTCTTTGCCCCCTCTGCCTGTTGGACATTTGCTGAAATGTGAGTCAATCTCAAACAGACAGACCATGCTCCTTTCTTTCTACTTTCCATTTTATACATTGAGGTGGGAAGACTCACGTGTGAACATAGTAAACAGAGTCCTGACCCGAAACGTCAGCTTTCCTGTTGCTCTGATTCCTGCCTGGCCTGCTGTGTTCCCCCAACTCCACACTTTGTTATCGTTAAACCGACAGTCAATCTGCTTTTTAAACAGGAAGCCGCAAGGGCAGGTTTTCAACAATGTGCAGTGTATTTAGGAACTATTTTATTGAAAGTAAACCGGGTGTCCCACTGATGTGAGGAAGCATATAAAACAGATTATTTTGTATTCTTACATCTAGCTGTGTTGAAAAAGGACAGCAAAATTGAAGAAAATTTGCTTGCAACAGTTGTCTTTGAGTTGGGGTAAGCATTTCTGGCATCATGCCATTATTTCTGAAGCTTGACTTGTTTGATGCTGCGGGTAAAGACTCGGCCCAGTGTTTGGAAAGAAGTGCCTACTACCTTAAGGCCAACTCGCCTTCAAACAGGTACCACAATAGGCCTTGTCATTAGAAAATGTGGCAAGTGGAGTGTGGGAGCTACAGGGCATCCCAATGTAAGTGGACACTGTCACCTGTCTGACTGTGATTGTGGAAGATTAGTTGAGTGAAGACAATCACAGACTCTCTGGCAGGTCATATCCTGAGCAGAGGGACCCTAGGTCAGCCCACAGCAAAATCTCAAAAGAAAACCAAGCCTTTGCCAAATGGCTAAAACGTTCTTCAGGATCTGGGTCAGCAAGGCATTGTAGTTGCTCCCGGTGTGTGGGCTCAAGAAAGCAAAGGAGTACTGTGAGGCCTGACTTGAGTAAGAAAACTGGTAGGCCTGTATCCAGGAGATTGTACACCCTGGAAAGTCCACCTGCATGTGGGTTGGAGCTATTAAATTGCTTAGCAACATCAAATCAGAACAAATTAAAACAAATGTCTGGATGAATGGTCACTCAGTTCTCATGGAGCAGACTTATCAGTGGTTGTAGAATCTGTCTTTAACAAGATTGGCTCTGGACCCCAAACCTTATGTGTGCGCAAGACCTCAGACAGACTGAGAATGGGCTGCGACCATCTTTACCAATAACTACGAGAGATACAAGTTTAATTTTCTCCCCTTCGAGACAACTGTGCATGTGGAATATTAGTCATGTTCTAGATCCTCATTACATTACTCCAATGTGCTTTGGACAGTCTCTGCTGAAAGATTGGATGTCACTATTGTGATACAAAAACAGAAATTCCCACAAATACTCAGCAGGTCTGGCAGCATCTGTGGGGGGAAAACAGAGTTACCATTATGGGTCAGGTGACCCTTCTTTAGAACATCCTGTAGAAGGATCACTGGACCTGAAATGTCAGCTCTGCTTCTCTCTTCACAGATGTCACTCGACCTGCAAAGCTTTTCCAGCAGTTTTTATTTTTGTTTCTGATTTCCAGCATCTGCAGTCCCTTGCTTTTTGTTTAATCACTGTTGCTATCATCCTTTTTTAATCTCAATCTCTGATTTTTAATTGATCCCAGCTATCTTGTTCAAGGAATGAACAACTAATCTTGATCAATGAAAATCATATCAATGTCTCATATCTGAAAGTCAGTGAAGGCTATCAAATCTGACTTATCTGAATGATTCCTGAGGGAGTAAGGGGGGACTCCATTACAAACATTAAAATGTTCAGGGCGTTGGGTTTAACTTGAGCGTCTTAATATAGATCAAACCTCGTATTTAAATTCAGGTTATTTGAAATAACGTTGCATTCTTTCGGAGAAAGGGAAACCGAAACTTTCATAATTAGCCTATAAAATCCAGATCTTGTCTCTCGGCAGAATAACCGACTGAGGAAAGAGGTAAGTACCAAAAACTTCAGACTGTTCAGTTAATGTTTAAGTTGTAAAAGTATTGGAAAGGAGATGAGGAGACCTGTCTCTACTCAGCAATTTGTTAAAATCTGGAATGTACTGGCAGAAGGGATGTGGAACTCGATTCAACAACTTTACAAAATGAAAATAGGAAAATATTTTGTAAAGCAAGCAGAATGGCGGGAAAAGCGGGGGAATGGGATTTACTGAATAAATGTTTTAAAGAGACAGCATGAGAAGAAATAGGTCGAATCGGCTCTTCTAGTGCCTTTAATATGGTCAGTGTACAATCGTGTTATTGAATTGTGCAACGCAGTATATCTGCAGCAGTGTGTGATATTTTGTAAACTTAGTGGTAACGAAAGGAGAACAACAAAAACTAATACTGCCCCTTTGGGATTGAGCCAATTAAGAAACTTTAATGATCTTTGTGTGAGAGAATTGGAATCTTCAAGTGCATGAGACAGTTTAACACGATTTCTGAGAATTGGTGAACTTGGCCATGAGAAGCAAGAGAAATGGACAATTACAAATCAACAACAAATTGCTCAGCAGAGTGCAAGATTCCAAATTTAATTTCAGAGGTGAAATTAATACAGTGCTCCTCTATCAGGAAGGAAATGGCTGAACTGAGATCAGTTCCCGGAGACCAGTGGAATGTAAGTGTGAAGAACAATAAACTGATAGTTAGTCGGTGTGTTTAATCTCTGAGTTTCCCCAGCAATGACTATTTCTGTTTATTCAATTCGTCTTTGCAATGTTGACTTTGAGCTTTGTGCAGCTTGTAATGAGAGAATAACAGCTTGTCAGTTAGTTTTAGAGAGTGCCCAGTTCATTGAGAAATGCTTTCCACCTTATATTTTCTGATTGATGTGACCACATTTAAAATTGGATGTTGTACGTGGACAATATTGTAAGGACAACTCAATCTTTCCCAACATGTTCCCTGGAAAACGATTTCACTCTGTTGAAATGACATCGAGAGTGTTATGTAAAATTTGGGGCATTGTGCCCATGAATTCTAACAAGGGACAGGAATGAAGTCTAACAAAGAAGAATAAATATTTTTCACTGCAAATCGTGATTCTTAATTGTGATGTTTCAGAATTGTGAGTCATGGAGCATTGTGCAAACAAATGTCCAATAGCATGGGAAATATCACCTTCAATACTATCAAATCAGACCAGAGTGAAGAAGGTCTAGACCCGAAACGTCAGCCTTCCTGCCCCTCTGATGCTGCTTGACCTGCTGTGTTCATCCAGCTCTACACCTTGTTATCTCAGATTCTCCAGCATCTGCAGTTCCTACTATCCCAGAGATTCAAACATATTTTTATAAAGATAAGACAACTGAGACTGCTAGACACAATTAAAAAAAGCAAAATAGAAACATCAATGCACCATTTTGCACAGCATAGGGCATCTCAAGGAAGTTTACAGCCAATGTTTTAGAGGAGGAAATGTGCAGCCAACTTACGCACAGCAAATTCTCATTGTCCGTAATATGACAATGATAAAGTAATCCACATTTGTGATTGAAAGTTAAGTGTTAGTCAAGACACTGGGCAGAACTACCCTGCTGTTCTTTGATCTTTTACATCCAGCCAAGCAGATAAATAAAGCAGGAGCAAATTACTGCAGTTGGTGGAATCTGTGCAGAAAGCCAAAATTGCTGGAGATCACAGCAGGTCAGCCAGCATCCATGGAGAGGAAGCAAGCTAACGTTTCTAGCCTAGATGACTCTTTATCACAGCTCTGAACATGAGCTTGCTTTCTCTCCATGGATGTTACTGGACCTGCTGTGATCTCCAGCACTTTTTGTTTTCAGATAAATTAGGCCTCTGTTTAACTTCTGATGACTGTTGGCCGAGATTTTTGTGCGCAAGTCGCAAAGTAGGAATTGAATCCCAGACGTTTAGACTCGAGGCAAGAGTACTATCAAAGAATCTGCAGCTGACACAAAGCTCTTAAAATTCTGAATTTGTTTTTGAAAAGAAATCACAAAGTGCAAATTCAAACAGTTCTGCAAAAGAGCTGCTGAGTCGTGCTGTTGATGATTGAGGATTTGTTACAATGCCACGAACAACTTCTCAAAGTTGATACCATCATTTATGTTTGTGTCCATTTTTGGGGTGTGGGCACATTGCCATGTCATCCCATGAGGATCGTTCTGTGTGAGCCTTGGATTGAGTGTAACATGGAGTTTTTTCACTCCTCAGGCATCAGAGTCAAACCAAATCTTCTCTTTACCTGATCTCCACAGGAGAGAGAGCTTTTCATCAAGTGAGAGACCCTGGCACCTTTTCAGAAAGGGGATAATAGTAGGAGCTCAACAGCAGAGACCAGCTTTTAAATGTTGCATCGTGTTGGGACCAAAATCTTTACTCAACGGAAGTGCCTTTTTCAGTGTAAGTGCCATTAATAAAGTTTGCTAATGAGCAATAACAACACGAGGGACTCAGCACAGAATTAAATTGTCTTCTTCTTCATTTTTAAAAAATTCTTTAGTTCAAGATCAAGTTTATAAATTCACCGGTTAGCATGGCATGTGCTCATGAAAGTAAGTGGGATGAAGAGGATGCACGTCATTTCGTTGAATCATGCTTTAAATGTTGCAATAGACCAAAGAACGGCAAGGTCTATGTGATGTACCATGGCACCCATGTCAACCATGTAGATACCATTCTGAAGTATGGTTTCAAACAATCCCCTGATGGCATGCTGGGCCGTGGAGTCTATGTCAGTCGGGATATTCGGAAAGCCTGCAGATATCCATTGAATACGCCTGAGAGTCAGAAGGTTGTGCTTAAATTAAGAGTTAATGTGGGTAAGGTCAAAACGATAAATTGTCAAGGGCACCCACTCCAGAAGACATGGCATGATCATGGTTATGATACTGCCTGGTGTCCTCCAAACTGTGGCATGGTACCAAGTGACCTGGAGGTGGATTGTATCTGGGATCCCAAGAGAATAAAAGTTGTTGGTAGAATTGATCAATCAGCTCAGCCAAATCCGTGGTACTTCCCTAATTGTTACTGAGCGGTATGCAAACTTCAGCTGCCTAAATGGGACAAGAATGGTGGGGTTGGGACGGGGAAGAAGGGAAGTGGAGGAAGTTTAGGGACGCTCTACCCTGATACGCTCCCTTGGGCTAGGGAGGGATGGTTCAACCAAGTTGTCACTCTGATAGGTGGCCTTTGGTGAACAACTGGGGATAACGGTTGACGTTCTATAATCACAGGGCAAGCTAAGCACTCATTGTAGAGAAGTTCTTGGAGACTCTCCTCCTGGCAATGTCATCAACACCATCAGAGCGCTGTTCTGATCCAATTCTCAGTGCCTTTCAGCTCCAGGAGTGGAGTCTCTAAAAACACAACCTGATTAGATTCACACCTGAAAAACGGCTATTGTCCCAAAAGCCTGGAGGTTCACCACCAGCAGTGAAGCAGACCTTTAAAATGGGAACTGAATCGGCTGGGGAGAAAAAACAGTTACAGTAAATTCAGAGACACAAGATGCAATATTGTTTTTGAAATACAATCTGTCAATGCAATCACTGTAACATTCTGTGTACAAATTGTTGGTGATTCGAAAAACATTGTTCTTTGCATTTATTGTGTTCAACTGAATAAAATCATTAGCTGTCTTTTTTTGTTGTCTTTCTAAAATTACTGGATGGGATGGATGCTGAAAAATTAATGCTTGTCGAACAATTTGGAAATGATCATTCTATAGACATGAAAAACACTGGAAGGGTGTTGCACTGGAGAAAGAATATTCTTTGCCCCCTCTGCCTGTTGGACATTTGCTGAAATGTGAGTCAATCTCAAACAGACAGACCATGCTCCTTTCTTTCTACTTTCCATTTTATACATTGAGGTGGGAAGACTCACGTGTGAACATAGTAAACAGAGTCCTGACCCGAAACGTCAGCTTTCCTGTTGCTCTGATTCCTGCCTGGCCTGCTGTGTTCCCCCAACTCCACACTTTGTTATCGTTAAACCGACAGTCAATCTGCTTTTTAAACAGGAAGCCGCAAGGGCAGGTTTTCAACAATGTGCAGTGTATTTAGGAACTATTTTATTGAAAGTAAACCGGGTGTCCCACTGATGTGAGGAAGCATATAAAACAGATTATTTTGTATTCTTACATCTAGCTGTGTTGAAAAAGGACAGCAAAATTGAAGAAAATTTGCTTGCAACAGTTGTCTTTGAGTTGGGGTAAGCATTTCTGGCATCATGCCATTATTTCTGAAGCTTGACTTGTTTGATGCTGCGGGTAAAGACT